GGAGGGGGGCGGGGGAATGTGTAAACAAAAGTAAAATTTGGCCGCGGTACTGGTTAATATTGAAAAAAATATATAAAAATCAAGGAGAAAAATAAGCCAGAGAAAGAAAAAACTTAATGAAGACACTGGAGATTTTCTAAAGACGTTAAAAAAAGCAAAAAATGGTACAAAAACGCTTAATTTAGAAAAGAAGTAAAAAAAAGCGAAGAAAAGCTTTTTCTAATGGGGAAAAACGTGGTTACGCCCTTGTTACTGTCAATATCACAACAAAAAAATTCGAAAATAAAATCAAAAAATGTCGCTCGTTTTGCTGACGTCGTGCATCAAGCTTGCCCCGGTTAAATTCTATTGAAGATACAGCACTTCCGGCCATGCAGTGTTCATTGTTTATGCTACGGGGTTGCCAATTTCGCATTATGGTAAAATGTAGGAAGCAAATTTTGAGGCAACTTCAACAGTCCAACTCACAGTTTGCAACAGCTTCAAAATCATTCAGCCACTCGATGCGAGCAGTTTGCGACATGCGATCCGCCTCATCAACCACCAGATACCTGAATAACGACGTTATACGTAATTTGAAAAGGCCTTACCGGAAGTCAGTTGATATAAGCTCGTCCCCTTTAACATGAGAAGAACAGGATAAGCTGAAGCGAATAACTTGGCAAACAAACATAAACGACTGGGCAAGTATTTAAACGGATGGAAAGTGCGTAACTCGACAAACAATTTGCAAGATAAACTAGTGCATGACAGTAGATTTTATATTGTAAAGAGCAACAGAAAAAATGGTAAGATTAACTGAACGGTGGACAAACGGATGGGAAAAAAGGATGGTTCGCAAGGAAACAGGATGATAATGACAACCAGAAACAGCGGAGAGATAAATGACTGGAGCGACTGATGTCAAATAAAGGACTGAACGGCATCCAGTATGTAGCAGACGGGTAAATTGAAGGCTACTACGAAAGAGCATTCCTCAGAGCAGTTCGCGTCAAATACGATGCTACGCTTACTTAAATTACTTAGCGCCAGCAGCAGAAAGACGTACGGCTGAATAAGTGATGAGTGAAACGGCACGACGAATACCTCTACGCACAATGCTGTAAAAAGCCACAACAACTGTAAGTCATACAATGATTAAGCGGAGGTATAGAAAGAGTGAGGGGGGAAAAACATCATGAGATAACTGAGTTGGATGGCAACAAAGAAGACGCAAAAATGAAGCAGATCGGTAAATCATAAGGGAAGGAATAGCATTCCACCCGGAAATCGGCACTGTTCCATGATTTATCACAGTTCATGCTCTGCTTTGATCATGTCGACTTAGCAACTCGACAAAAAAGCTTCGCATGATGAAGCCGCGCTTTCTTGCACACTCAACACGAAGAAGTTCCATTCTAACGTCCTTTATCAATGCAAGTAAAAAATCTTGAACAAATTATTTGCTTCAAAAGAGTATGATCCGCAAAGAAAGGCTAGAAGAAATTCACCAAATGTGACGTTAAAGGGTTCCAAAAACCACAAAACTATCCTGCAAAGCTTTTAGAATGTTTCCTACCTGAGACGTGTAAAATCAGCAGGGCAATCCAAATCCGTTATGTGTTCCATAAGACGTCCTGGCGTGGCAATTGCCACTTTTGCATTTTTCAGTTGTAATCGTTCAGCTTTGAGGTCATGGCTTCCACAGAGTGACACAATGCACGTGTTGAAAACATTGTATTTTTTGAATTCCTACAAAAAATAGGTCAAAATATCACCCGAAACCAAACAAAGTACTTTTTCAGGAAGGAATTCTGCAATCATAAAAATTTCCCAGAAACTAATCCAGGAAAGAATTCTGCAATCATAAAAATTTCCCAGAGAAAAAAAGAAAGCCAGACATTGAAAACATAAATCGAAAACTTTTCAAAAAATTTAAAGCACGAGTTCCACTAACCGAAATTTCCCGAATTTCAATTTTAAAACAGTATAGAAGCAGAATTTGTTTTTAAAACCGCTGATTCTGAGGTATTTCTTAGCTGATTTCATACCTGATTTTTGAAACACTGCGATATCTTCGCAAGAAAAATGAAGCATTTGCAGTTCCAAAGCTTCTTCTGATAACTAATGTCCAGAACCTAGAAGCTTACTCCCCCCCCCCCCCCCCCCCCCCCCCTT